TTGTACGACACCAGCGCCCCCGCCACGTCTCTCGACATCGTGTAGCACCAGCCAGCCATGAAGTTCACACCTAATGAGCGGTTTTGCACGCGAATCCCCGTCCCGGCATGAATCCCCATGTAGATACCTCGGCGCGGCAGAAGGCGCAGGTTGGCCAGGAAGAGCGGCACACGGAGGAACATGTCATCATCGCCCTTCGCAAGATAGCTGGCGGTGGGGAAGAGGCGGAGCGCAAGGTCAAACCACAGGTACGTCTTGCGGCTCATACCAATCGCAGCCTCGACGCCAGAGAATCCACCAACGCCGACTTTCTTTTCAGGTGCCACACGCCCCTCATTCATTGGCAATGCGACCACGTCGTGCCACAGCGCCGCCTCCTCCTGCAGCGCGGCAGAGTAGTTGTAGCCGTGTGCCGGGTGCCGCCCAAGGACGTAGAGCACAAGCATTGCACCGGCAAAGCCATTCGCGCGCGTCGCCACACCGGGGAAGCGCCAGCACGTCGACCGCTGCAGGTTGCGTCGCCTCCGCCTCGCCTCAGTGTCTTCCGATGGAACGCCCAGCACTAGCAGGTACTGCCGCTGGCTCCATGTGTCCACAGCCCTGCGTGGGATGAAGGCAAGCGCCGCTTCGTCCGCTGCGACGGCTCGCGAGTGGAGGTAACTGTCGCGTCCTGCTGCGTCGCCATCGGAGGCAGTGTCAAGCCTGATAGACAGCAGGGCCGTGGCCAAAATGAAGAGAAGCAGCAGCAGGGCCACATGCTTCAGCTTCCGCTTCGTTGTCAGCAACTTCGACTTTGGCATGGGCACTGCTGGTGTGAGGGGGCGGAGCAAGAGAAAAGGGCGCAGTGCGTGTGGGGGCAACAGGCGAGAGACACAAGCAGCACAGCGGAGACGGGCGGAGGCTACACGGCCGCACCGCGCCACGCAGCCATACAAATGCACAGAGGCCCGCCGGCCAACCCAGCGCACCCCGCCAGCAGACAGCAGGGAGAGAGAGCACGAGAGGCGCAGCTGCGGCACCCAGAAGCAAGGGGGCCGTGAACCACTGGCGTTGCCTCGTCCCCTGCGCCCAGAAAGAGCGGAGAGGGCGTCACGGCACGTGTTCTCCCCGCAACAGGTTTTGTGTCATCGGCACTGGCAGCGGCCACCCCGTGAAGGCTCCACCCACAAAGGCGCCACACAAACATGCGAGAACGCAGCGCCTCAGCCCCCAAAGACGAGCAGCCGCCGGGAGTTGAGGGCCCAGGCGTAAGAAGACACGCAAAAAACACACACACACAAACACTAAACCCCGCCA